TTCCATGTACTACGCAGGGATATACTATGCAGTATACAGACACACACCCTTTGTACTATCCAGTACACAGAAACGCTGCATGCATTTCACAGTCACCTCAGGCAATTCACAGACATACCACGTTTGAACTTTTGCAGACAAAAGCTCTGGTGGATCATGGTGCTATTACACCTGCCTCACCTCCAGTAGTCCCACCTCTGGCAGGGGTATTTCCAAACCTCATATTCCTCTATAATCTACTTAATTCCACAAAACTAATCCTATCTTTTTAGTTCTGAAAATCATATCAACCTTTATATAATATATAAACAAATTTAAACAATATACCTTTTTATAATATGTAATTATTATAGCTTTATTATTATCCACACCTCTTACCTCTTTCAAGTTTATTATTAACTGCAATATTAATCTTACCTTGAGATCCAAAACAATAAAATAGCAATAAAATATGTTGTATGGTGAAACATTCTTGTTAAGTGTAAGTTTGTGAACTGAGCAGCATATTCTAGTACAGCAATAATAAAACTATGTTACGTGGGATCAACTAAATAGGTGGTCTTGGTTTCTTCCCTTCCTTTTATATCACGTCTCTGCTAAAGCAGGCAGAATACTGTCTTTTTTTATAGTTTTCCATACATCCTTATTGCCTATAACACCACTCGGGCAATCCTCTAGTGTTTAATTATGCACTTGCATAATTCCAAAAACATTGCGATGTCTGTGGTTAGGTCTAATTTAAAAACAAGAGAAAGAAAGAAAAACAGTTATTATTGTAACATTTATAAGATATGGTTATGTGTTCAAATTTAAAAGTAAATACATCTTATAGCTGACATGTTTAGGTTCGTTACTGAAAAAAAAAGAAAAAGAAAAATACACATCTGTACATAGGTAATGTTATTTAGTGGGAAATTAAACACAACAACCAAATGTGCACACGAGGAAGGACCTCAGATGTATTAGAACCACAACATTCCCATTATAACGGCTGCAAGGCACTATGGGAGTTGTAGTTATAAAACATACGAGAATCTACTTTTTGGGCACCACTGACAAATTAATTTCCAGTTTTCCTTTAAAAAATAGTCTGTCATATCATTACTATTTAAAAAAAACAATCCCAACTATACTAGTTGATTTTTTTTTATTCTTTTTATATTCTTCCTCAGCGTCACTGTATAAAAATAGGTGCCATTACTAAAATCAAGCATAAACCTTTTTTTTTTTTTTTGCATGTATGGTATGTATTAAGAGGTCTGAATGTGTTTAGCCCTTTCACTATCAAGTACTTTTTGATTGAAGAAAATATTAGGATAACATGCATTTGGAGCAAGGGATGCAGAGTTGACATATAAATAAATATATCATAATACAACTATTTTTTTCATATTGTGTTTTGCAGACAAATATAAAAATGAAAATTTTGTAAATTTCAATTTTTTCCCCTCATTTGTTCAACATTTATAAAAATATTGAAAATATTGAAAATCTTTAGACATTATACAGTATCCTTTATTTTGCAATATTGCACACAGGGTCTGAAACAAAAATGCAATTTTTCTCACATACAGTAGCTGTGACAAAAGTAAATAACCTTGTTTTTAACTAAAAATTTAAACATAATGTAAAAAGAGTGTCTGTATTTGGGCAGTATGCCTACATACAGTTAAATCATATTTCTAAAATATAGATTTAAAAAAAAAAAAGGTAATATAATACTAACTGTGAAATAGTAGAGTCCTTTCGCTTCTCCCCCTTGCCTAATAATAGGAATGATATGACCAATTGAAACTTCCTGTACTGTGTGAAAGCATCTTACAATTTCAGAAATTTTGTAGGCAATATATCAATGGCTAGTAGCTTCTGGCAGTCTTGGCAGATAAATTTGTTCATGTACAGGCTAGTAATCCATTACGTCCAAAGTGTCAATTCCTTTTTACTAAATAGATTTTATTTTGTATTGCTGACACACCTATATAAGCATACTTAATATCTTCAATGGTATGACATAATAAGGTAGCATGTAAAGAATTTATAACTTTGTATGTGGCCCTCGGATATGTCTTGTTTTGTAATGCGGCCCTTGATGTACCTAAGATTGTACAGCCCTGATCTATGTGAAAAGATGCAGAATTATTTTGGAAATGAACAAGAAATAAAAATTAAATTAAAACAGTGGGGGAACCAGGGCATTTAATAAGGTATTTAGTCCCCCTCCCTAACACCATCACCCACATATTATTAACACCCCTCCCTCCAGTGGCGTACACATGACCCATGGGGCCCCGGTGCGAAAATTGATCCGTGGGCCCCCTTCCCCCCCGCGCTTACTCGGCGCGGGTCGGGGCCGCAACACATGGCGGCGGGCACCTGGTCGCAGGGGTTGCAGGGCTGCGACCCCGCGACCGCGGTGTGCACACACACTTAAAGGACCACTACAGACACCCAGATCACATCAGCTCAATGAAGTGGTCTGGGTGCCAGGTCCCTCTAGTTTTAACCCTGCGGCTGAAAACATAGCAGTTTCAGAGAAACGGCTATGTTTCACTGAGGGTTAATCCAGCCTCTGGTGGCTGTCTCATTGACAGCTGCTAGAGGAGCTTCAGCGATTCTCACTGTGAAAATCACAGTGAGAAGACACTGAACGTCCATAGGAAAGCATTGAGTAATGCTTTCCTATGGGCGGTTTAAATGCGCGCGCGCCTCTTGCCGCGCATGTGCATTTTGGAGCTGAGTGGCGGACACTGGGGAGTCCGACGCTGGAGAAAGGTAAATGCTGAAGACACACACACACACTCTCACGAACAGACGCATACACACTAGCTAACAGACACACACATTTACTGACAGAGACACACTCAGCGACAGACATACATACACACTCACTTACAAAACATACACTTTCACTGACAAACACACACTCACTAACAGACAAACACACTCAGTAACAGAGGTGGCAGGGGGGTGACAGGATGAGGTGACAGAGTGAGAGGGGAATGACAGGGCAAGGTGGCAGGGTGAGAGGTGGTCTTGAAGGCGGGTGACAGGATGAGATGGGGTGACAGGGTGAGGTGGCAGGGTGAGGGGGTGACAGGGTGAAGTGGCAGGGTGAGATGGGGTGACAAGTGGGGTGGCAGGGTGAGATAGGGTGAGAGGTGGGGTGGCAGGGTGAGATCGGGTGACAGGTGGGGTGGAAGTGTGAGAGATGTGGGGTGGGGGTGACTGGGTGAGAAGAGGAGGCAGGGTGAGGGGTGACAGGTGGGGCGGCAGGGTGAGAGGGGGTGACAGGGTGAGGGGGTGGCAGAGTGAGAGGGAGTGAGGGATGACAGGTGGGGTGGAAGGGGGATGACAGAATGAGAGGTGGGTGACAGGGTGAGAGGGAGGTGACAGGGTGTGACAGGTGGGGTGGCAGGGGGGGTGACAGGGTGAGGTGACAGAGTGAGAGGGGAATGACAGGGCAAGGTGGCAGGGTGAGAGGTGGGCTGGAAGGGGGATGACAGGATTAGAGGTGGGGTGGCAGGGTGATAGGGTGACAGGTGGGGTGGCAGTGTGAGAGAGGGGTGACAGGATGAGATGGGGTGACAGG